GAAAGAAAAGCTTGTAGTTAGTTCAAGGATCGCTGGCCTTTAAGGGTGTTTTCCAGTCCAGTCTGTTGGGGCACCACGCCCTGTCCCCAGTGTCCACCCTCATCATTCCCTGGGGATCTTGCCAGCAACTTTTCTTGAAGAGACTATCTCTTCTCTATTTAATGTGGTTCCAAACTTTGTCAAAGACCAATTGTTTGTAGGTGAATGGATTTATTTCTGTTCTTGGTGGTAGTTACATAAACTGTTGTCAATTTAAGACTATTAAGAGAGAAGGGGTAGAGGTTAGCCTCAGGTCAAAGCTAGATGACCTCATTTGGAGGTGCTACAGAGATAAATAGCTTGCTAGATGTGGAACACACATAATCTCTGCTTGGTATTCCTGATGACAAGATACATGGAGCTATGCTAGAGCCCTGGAGCTGGAGGAGACACATGGAGACCCATGCCAGTGCTGAGATGCCTGTGCCACTGGATCCACAAGACTTTCCACCCACTGGGCCGTGATCTTCCTGCATTCGGCATCATTGTGTATGTTTTGTGAGTCTGAAGAGGAATTTATAGATTGGTATTGGACATATAGGCTAATATCCGACTTATGAACTTGATCTAGATTGGGCTGGGATGTTTCCTCAATATTCAATTGCTCTTGTATATAAAGCTCTTTCTTATACACATATGAGTGTCTCTGGATTTGTTTCTCTGGTCTACCTGGGCAAGCATAGTTCTCTATTCTGTTCCATCAGCCTAGGAATCTATCATAGTACCAGTACTGGGCTGTTTTATTGCCATAGCTATGTAGAAGGTTTTGAGGTCAGGAAGTGAGAGGTTTCATACTTTGTTCTTCTTCTCAAGTATCTTTGCTTCTCCTGGGTCTGTTTACTTTCCATATAAAACTGGTGATTATTTCATCCATGTGTTTACAGAAGGATGTTGAGATCCAGATCCCAGCCATTATAAATGCAATTGCATTATATTTAAAGATTGCTTTGGGTATTTGATTTTCACAATGTTACGTCTTCCTCTCCATGAACATGGAACATTCGTTCCTTTATGTAGGTCTGTACTGGTGTCTTGTATTTTATAGTTGTCTTTGTGAAAGATTTTTGCTTTTCTGGTTAGGGTTATTCCTAAGTATTTAATCTTTTGTATGGCTATGGTAAATGTTATTGTTTTACTGATTCCTTCCCAGAGCTCTCCTCACTTGTATATAAGAATCCAGTTGATTTTTGTTTATTGACCTTGCACTGTACCATAAGCTTTTAAGTATGTTCAAGCTTAATAAAGTATGCCACAGGACTTTAGTAGGGATGAATGGGCTCTCTCCGTGCCCATCTTGCCCATTTATGCTTCCTGTGTGGGCTAGTGGTGCCTAGGATTTTGTTTGTCACACATGCACATCACAGTCAAAGTTCCTGCTTCATAGCGGTCAGGAAGATGTGGGAGGTCTGATCTTTATTAGATGAACTTAAAGATGCTTACTAGCAGGAGTGAATACCCAATCGAGAATGCTTTTGTTTATAACTCAATAATAAATACGTCGATATACATTGACTGGATACTCCACAGTGTTGTAATGCTAACTTTATTGTTAGGTGAATGAAACCATTTTACAAATCTATGAAATTTCCCCAACCTAACTGAGTTTGTTATGAATAAAGCTAACTTGAACAAATAAACAAACTTAGTAGGCAGGTGTCATACCAAAACAAAGCATGTGAATAACGATTTAGCACTACGAGGCTTTTTAAAAAACAATCAAACACAGGATCTGATGTGAAGCTCCAGCTTTTGCCTCTTAATTCTAACATAGATGACTTCATTTCAGAAAATCAAAGAAAAAAACCCCACCCCGTTGTATATATGTGATTTGCTTGGTTTACATTTTTCAGTTCATATTATATAAGCTAAAGCACATGACATTTGTACGTATCACAGGTATTCCTGGGTGGTCCGAGTGGTTCACTGCTTGACTATGAACTAGGAGGCTGGCGATTTGAATTCATTGAGAAGCTGCCTCAAAGCAATCCCTGGTGCTCTGCTCCTGAAAAGTCAGAGCCGTGAGGACCCCCGGGAGCAAGTGCACTCTGCACACGGGGGGTTGCTGTCAGTCAGGACCGACTAGATGACAGCCACGTCCTTGCTTTCATCTTTAATCCATACATCTTTAAATGATATGACAATGATTACAAACAACACGCTTAAATGGAAACCATTTTCTAGGTTGGTGATTCTTCAGAAGGGAGGCCTGGCAACCTGCTTTCCTTAAAGGCAACCCTACAAAGTGCTTCTATGCTGTAACACACGGGGTCGACGTGTGTGGCACTCAAAGACAATAGGACTTGGCGTTGTGTTACTGTTGTCGTTATTGCTATTTCTTTGATGGAACAGGCACAAAACAAATACAAACTGACAAATTAAAGTAGGAAGGGGAAAAAAAACACCCCTACAATTCATATCCACTGTGTCTTCGTGAGCCCTGTGTCCCGGGGTCCTCGTGACCCTCTTAGACTCCTGTCAGGATCTGTTCCGGATTACTCGTGTGCCCACTGCCCTCCTCGGTGCCCGTCTGCAATTCAAAAGGGATTTGAGTGTTCTGGGGAACTTTCAAGATTGAGGGGAAGGGTCACTCAGGAGCTTTCTGACCTCATCCAGGATGTCCTCACTCAGGGAAAGATGCCCGTTCTTACCTCACGCTCATCGTCTCTCTCATCTCCACTTCTCCCCCTGCCCTGGCTGCTTCCTCGCTGAGGGGTAGTCTGATGAAATTGTGGATGGGGAGACTTAGCAGGGGCTGTCTTTACAATTGGTGATTGCCATCTATTTCTGCACCTTCCACCCTGCTGTGGGGACCCAGGCACAGATACAGGGGTCTGCTGGTGGCAGAAGAGCCTGGACGCCCAGGCCCTGGACACTGAGTACATGATTTGATCTCATTAAACCCACCTTAGGGTACCTTAGTAGGCCAATCTCGCAGTAGTTATAGTCGGAGTTGTCGATTTTTCTGCTGTACAGGTCCACACTGTTTTCTGTGGGGAGGGCATGGTGGGCTGCTGCTGAGCTGGGACCCCCAGGCAGGAGAGAAGACCCTCCATGTTCACTTGGAGGTACAATCAGAGAGTGTGAAGTTGAGCTGGGCCCTGGAAGGCACAGGGTGAGCACAATCAGCCCTCTGCCTGACCCCTGCCCTCGACCTCCCACTCATCACCCTGCCTCTGTGGCCTTTCACACTCCTTCATCCTCAACTCTACCTTAGCCTTCTCTAGGGAAGATTTGAAGGAAGGTAAGGCACCTCTCTCTGCTCATTGGCCTCCCCAGACAGTCCTCCTCCTCCCACCAGCTTTGATCTACCTGCTCCTCTTCCTCTGGCCCAATCCTCACCTTAGTTCTCCCAGTCTACCTGTCCCCCGTGAGGTTCCCCAGCACTTGCCTCTCTCAGGCTCCATCTGCCTCCTCTTCCAGATATACACTCCCACTACTCCCAGGCTTACCACCAGAACCATGGGAAAGATGCACTTCCAAATCCACTTGCTCCAAAGAGAATCTGGGTCAAAGTATGGTGGTGTAAGGTGGATGCAGAGCGACAATAACAGATATAATCATTTATCAGAAACAGGCTTTGTTGGGGAGAGTTTGGGAAAATGGGGAGCAATCAATGACCACATTTATGCAGGAGAAGAAATGCAAGGAGCCGGAATTTCCAGACTTCAGACCCTCTTGGGCTCTCTGACAGGAGTCTTTCATACAATGCCCCAGCACACTTCTGTTCACCCTTTAAGGGCCATGCCAGGTGCTCTCCTCTTTGTGATGCCTCACCCAACTCCAGTAAGCAATTAATTAATTTTAACTATTTAGTTCTCTAACTACACTTTATATTAGTCTCAATTTCAGCATTTAGCACATGGCCTTAACTTTATACATGTATTCTTCTTCTTCTAACTAAGGAAGAAGCTAATTCATAATTATTGACACCTTTAAGTGACTGACCTGTTTTACATAGGTTACCTCTCTTAATTCTCACAACAATTCTGTAAAATAGGGGTACTTTTGCAGATCCTTCCTTGCAACAGAAAAGTGGGTGAAGGGAGACATGAGGCAGTATAAGCTACGATAAGATAATAATAATTTATAAATTGTCAAGGGTTCATGAGGGAGGGGGAAAAACGAGGAGCTGATTCCAAGAGCCCAAGCGAAAAGCAAATGTTTTGGGAATAGTGAGGGCAACGAATGTACAAATGTGTTTTACACAATTGACGTATGTACGGATTGTGATAAGAGTTGTATGAGCCCCCAATCAAATGATTAAAAAAATAGGTGTACTTTTTGCTCCATTTCACAAGTGCAAAAGTTTGGAAAAAATAAATCAATTATCCATGGCCACACAGTCCGCTGGCGTCTAGGGAAAGTTTCTAGGCACTTGAAGGTGGGGCTTGTCCTATTTCTCACTGTCCCTGAACCCAGCACAAGCTGACACTCAGGGAAGGTTTCTGAGCTGGATGCTGCGTGGATGAGAAGGGGAAAAACAAGAGAGAGGCTGTTCAAATGGGAGTCTCACATGAGGAAGCAGAGCTCAGTATGAAAGTAGTGGGACAGGGCTGATGGGCTGATACTTGCATCACATTGTTATATCGATTGTTCCTTCTGTTGCATCTTGGGATGATGGGGATTTAGGTTTTATGAGACTAGAACCTAAGAGTATGACTCCTCTGTTAGATGCCCCACCCATCACCATCCTACCATCCATAGAGTCTAGATGACCCTTGAGAGTGAATGGGGAGAGTGGTGCCTGGTTATATGACCCCATGTGCTCCCAGTGCTCCCGGGAGGGCTAATTTATATCTTTCTAACTCAAAGTGGTAAATATCATCAGAGAGAGGACACACGGGCCCCTAGGCACTCATCCAGGGAGGGAGCCAGGTTCTTCCTCCTTAGCTCATTCCCTTCCCTGCTTCCTGGGAAATTGGGGTGCTCAGATAGGGGGTGTCCATATGCCAGTCTGACTATAAAATAAAACGTTTGTGTCTTGGCAAATAAATCAGTTGCTGTATAATGATTTGGTCCGGATTCTTGATTTGCAGGTTTGAAGGTTGGCACAAGGGATATGACTGTTCCTTGAAGCAGTGAAGTGGGGTTACATTGCACCTTTTGATCTGCCTTTATGTAGCTCACCCCCATCCCTCTCTCAAAGTCCGCCAGTATACCTTCACCCACTCTTTCCTGGTTGGTTTTAATCACCTGTCCTTGTAGATCGTACTCACCCATCCACAGACAGATGCCCCCCAGGTCCAAGGTAACATTTTTTTGATCCACAGGGTTGCTGACCATACAGGTGAGGTGAGAGTTCCCCTGGCTCAGGGGCAAGGGCAAGCTCAGGCTGAGATTTCTATAGGTGGGGGCTGGCCCAAGTGGGTCTCTCAGCTCCAGCTGCCCAGGAAGGCCCTTGTCCAACCAGGTCACTGTCAGGTCCTTTGTGCCGTTCAAGGCCACACACTCCAGGGTGATGTTACACCAGTCTGATGTGCTCAGTGATGAATGAGTCAGGATCTTGGGGTGAAGGATGAGCTCTGGGGTGAAAGGGGGGGAAAAAGAGAAAGTACACTTCTAGATTGGAGGCCCACTCAAGTATTTGAGCCTCTCTTCCCAGTGGGATGCAGCAGTGTGAGAGGGCTTGTTTTCTAAATGGAGGCCTGGGGAAGGAGCCTGCCCCTCTTCCCAAGGAATTATGACTCCCAGCCCAGGAGTAGATGGCTGAGACCTTCCCAGGCTCAAGGAGGGTCCTGTGGTACCTCACCCTTGGCAGAAAATTGGCATGTCTATCTGTTCCAAAGAACAAGACCAGGATCACTCCCTAAACGTTCCCAGGATCCCTTGACATTTCCCTCCTCCCCCACACACACCACACGCACACACACACACACACACACACACACACACACACAGTCTCCCATCAATCCTCTGCTTCTCAAATCAACTGACTCAGAGATTTTCCATGGTTTCTCTGGAGAAATAGATTTAAACCTAGAGCTAACAGTCTTCTAGAAAACATTAAACTAAAATGGCAAGCCAAAGATATTCGATATTATGCTAAGTTCTACGCTGTTTGAGAAAGAATAATGCAAGGACACATAGAAGAATTAAAAAATGAATTCATGGAGGAACACCTGAGTCTATTGTGTAAGACACCCTTTAAACTTGGAGCTGAAGCTATTCAGAGATCACCTTTCAGCCAAATAATAGATTGTCCAGTAAAATAAACAGAAGCAACAGTGAGAACCGTGCTTCTTTAAATAACCAACTACAAGAGACTAAAGGGTCAACACACTCACAAGTGAAGATAACAAGACAAGGAAAGACAGGAAAAGTGGGTAACTAGAAATAAGGCAGACAGTAGACATAGGGAGAGTGCTAACCCATTGGCATAACCCATGTCATGAAACAATTTGTATTAGAATTGTTGGATGAGAATCTAATATGTTAACTTTTGCCTAAAACACACACAATTTTTTTTTACTTTTAAATAACGAATTAGTGAATCAAGTAGGAAAAAAGATGTAAAATAAAAAATACAAACCCACTGCTATAGAACAAATTCTGGTTCATATCAACCTTATAGGGCCAAGTAGAAATTTTCCTTAAAGTTTCTGAGACTGTAACTCTTTATAGGAATAAACAGCTTTGTCTTTCTCTGCCAGAGTGGGTGGGGGGTTTGAACTGCTGAACCTGACACTAGCATAAAGAAGAGACTGAAAAGGAAGTTTAACTATGCAGAAATGAGCAACCACAAAAAATCGTGACTAAGCAAAACAGTTCACCAAGAAAAAAATTCTTAACCCCCAATTTTTTTAATAGGAAGCCTATAAGATTGAATATAAATGAACTAAACATTTGACTCAAAAAGTCAGCGAGGCAAGTAGATTTAAGTACATTAGTAGAGAGGGTATAAAAGAGGAAAAACAGGCATCAGTAACCACGTGGCAAGCCTGATAGGTGACTCACTCCACACTCCTTCTAGTCCCCTTTTTTGCCTTCGTCTGCGTCTGCTTAGTGTCTGGAGAGCTAACTTCTGTTTCTGTCTCTCTGGTAACTGCAGTTCTGACCAATGAGCATGGGGAGGTTGCCTTGGTGGGAAGAAGGGACTTAACATCTGGAAAAACAAAGTCTCAATGGAAAGGACTTTCCCCTTATTTTCCCATTGGTTGCTTAATTGTGGAGTGAGGTTTGGAATAGCAGTCTTGGGGATGAGGAGGCCACACACATGAGAACAGACCCTTGGAACAAGGATAGCAGGGCGGGGAAGAGTGAGCTGAGCGTGGGTCCTAGATGACATGGCTGAGCTGCTGGACCAATCATGATGAGATGCTATGTCCTGACTTCTTATTTTGTGACAAATAACCCTGCTGACCTGAAAGTCTTTAGAACTCAATGTATGTTCATGGTAGGCAGGCGGAGCCCTATCTTCCATGCATAGAAAGCTATTTTTTAAAAGGGTCACTAAATCAGCAAATTTTAAAGTTGATCTGAAACCAAAAGGCCAAAGTGAAAAAGAATTCAATAAGCCTGACCAATTTTTAGAAATAAAGGTATATATAAATGACATTAAGAATGAGCATCAGGGTCACACCTTCCTAACATGATCACTGAACACAAATGTGTGCATAAGCAAATATGGTGAAGAAAGCTGATGGTGCCCGGCTATCAAAAGATATAGCATCTGGGGTCTTAAAGGCTTGAAGATAAACAAGCGGCCATCTAGCTGAGAAGCAACAAAGCCCACATGGAAGAAGCGCACCAGCCTGTGTGGCCACAAAGCATCCAAAGGGATCAGGTATCAGGCATCAAAGAATAAAAAATCATATTATTATAAATGAGGGGGAGTACAGAGTGGAGACCCAAAACCCATCTTCAGGCAACTGGACGCGGGGAGGAGACGAGTCAGTCATGGCATAGGGTAGTAACAATGAAACATACAACTTTCCTCTAGTTCTTAACTGTCATGATCCCAATACTACCTTACAAATCCAGCTAGACCAGAGGATGTACACTGGTACAGATAGAACTGGAAACAGGGAATCCAGGGAGGATGATGCCTTCAGGACCAGTGGTGAGAGTGGCGATACCCAAGGGTGGAGGGAGGGTGGGGTAGAAAGGAGGAACCCATTACAAGGATCTACATATAACATCCTTGGGGGATGGACACAGAAAAGTGGATAAAGGGAGTGGGTAAGGTATGACAAAATAATAATAATTTATAAATTATCAAGGGTTCAACAAGGAGAGGGGAGTGGGGAAGGGGGCGGAAATGAGGAATTGATATTGAGGGCTCAAGTAGAAAGTAAATGTTTTGCGAATGATGATGGCAACAAATGTACAAATGTGCTTGACACAATGGATGGATGTATGAATTGTGATAAGAGTTGTACGTGCCCCCAGTAAAATTATTTTTTTTAAAAGAATGAGCATCAGGGCATAACTGCAGGTATAAAAAGATAGTAGCTTTAAAAGGAAATATTAAAACTACATATCAATCAATACATTTGAAAATACAAATGAAAATGCAGTTACATTATCTAGGGAAATGTAAATGATCAAAGTTCACTTAAATACTTCTAGCCTTTGAAGAAACTAAAAAGATAGAGTTGTTCCTATAAAGAACACAGAGCTCATATGATTTTAGGACTGAGTATTGATAAGTGGTCAAAAATAAAATCTCTGTGTTATACAAACTGTTCCAGAGCTTAGGAAAAGACACCCTTTTTCTGAGTTACCAAGGAGAGGGGCGAGCCTAAAACAAAAGACTCACTTGCAACTCCAGGGGTCAATGTCAGCTACAGGCTTCAAACTCCTAAATTAATATTTGAAAATGCAGTCTAACAAAACAGCTGATCCACGAGGACTTATTTTGGAATGTCAGGGTGGTATGATTAGATGATTGTATAATTGGTCTGTGCTTCTTTAACAGATGAAAGAGGAACCCAGCTAGCATCTAGAACGCAGGTTTCCAGGCACTGCTCAGTTTAATTCTTATTAACCTACGAGACAACCCAGGACCCTGTGCAGGTGGAAGTGCAAAGCATTGCTTGAATTTAAGCAGGCAAATGATAGGAACAGTGCTACATTTTAAAAGATGGATGTGGCATGCAGGAGCAATTAATTATTTCATGTGACGCTTCTAGCCAAAGTCTTTCATTTCCACTGAAGGACCGTTTCCTGCGTGAGTCTAATAGAAGGTCGGGGGAGATAGGATTCACCTGTGAGTAATTATGAGCAAGGTTCCCTGGAGTTCCATCCTTGTGGGGGGAAAATGAGCCTCATGAGAAGCAGGAGCAGGGATCTCACTATCAGCAAGAGCCAGGCGTGGAGCATGTCCTTTGGATCTGAGATCCCTGTGCGGCGCACCTCCTGGACCCAAAAGTCAGCTATACCGTCAGAGGAGCAGCAGCAGAATCAGGATCCCAAGCAAGGATCCAGAGTGATGGACTTCCCAACCCACCGAGCAGGTAGAGCTGAGTGCTTTCGTGCAGGAGAATGTAAGGAGCTGGGCTTGCTGACCCATGGGGCTTAAGCTGAATGTCTTCAGGTGGAGACTCACAGAACAGTGGCATGCCCTTTGGACATTAGCAGATTTGACAGAACTTTGTAACATGACTGATAAACAACTCAATTTCTCACTGACACTATAACTTCCTAACTTCCTTCATAAGCCCTTTAATCACACATTTTGTCTGTGAGTCTTGCATAGCCATTGAAATGGCTATTAGAATGAGAGCTAAATTACAGAACATTCATTAAACCAGCATATGGCCATGTGTGGAGGGTAGTTTGACAGGGAGGCCCAGTAGGAGGCTGCTGGCATAATGCAAACAGGGTGACTGAGGATGGGTAGGGGCCAGAGGGACCCATAGGACAGGCCATTGGTCATTTTCCCCAGCTTTCTTAGAGTCAGTCTGCCCAGAGCTGTCTGTTTTCAGAGTGGAGTGAAAGGTACCCAGGAGGCAGGGCTGTATCCCCTGCATCTTCAACCTGGGTCTGTAGGAGAATTTTGTTCGAAGAGTTCTCTAACTAGGCTTTAGGTGGATTTGTCTAAACCACTTCTCCATGACCAGTTCTACCATTCCATCTACTTTTTCATGTCTTTTCCCCATGTTTTTGATGTTCAGTTGTTTGGGTTAGGGCAGAGTTTTTGTTTCTGGTTTTTTTGCTAACTATTTTTGCCTGTTTCTAGTAAGTCTTTTAATGAACCAATTGAGGACAGTTTTAATATTAATTGTAACCAATTTTGTGGCTGAAGAAAGTTCTGCTTCCTCCTAGGATCTAGATGGATTATCTCTACTTTCCATGCTGTTTAAGACATATGAGATTGTTTGTCTGAGAACTTAATCTTCACACTTTAGTTTTTGTTTCTAGGCTAACTTGCTTTCGATGTGAGGGAGCTTCAAAATGTTCATGGGGATAAATGGTATGAAAATATAATCGAATTTTTAATGCACATTTTGAAGCCCCTCATAAATCAAGAGTAGAAATGCCTGCTGGGCATGACCCCACTTTACCGTACACACAGAGTCGGATGACGTCCTCTTCGAACTGTCCAGAGTGGTATTTGATTTTTGCTTCATATAGTCCATTCATTTCCACAATGAGATTACTGATGTTTAAGAAAGCCATCTCTGCCAGGTGGAATCTGTGCTTGTATTTTTCATCAAAATCATACCACTCAATGCCGCCTAGCTTCCAGGACACCAAAAGCTGATTTTTCTCATCTCCAGAATTCCAGTTCCACTCAATCTCTCGGATGGAGGAGTGCTCAGAGAAGTTCAGCTGCAACTGAGCTGATTCCCCCACAGCCCTGTTCAATGTGCAGGGGGGCCAGGGGTCTTTGACGGCCTGAACACCTGAGCAAACAGGAGATAAGATTGGGAGGGGGGAGAGGAGCAGCTGAGCAAACATTTATGCATAAAGACCATATGCTTTCACATCACAGGAATTTGATATTCACAAAAGACTATAATCTTCAATTTTACAGACACAGGAATGAAGCTGCAGAGCTAACTTGCCCAGGCACTGATTTTACACAAAACATGGGAGTTCTGATTCAAGCCGGCCCATGTCTGTCATCCTCCCAGACCCCTGCTGCCTCCTTTTGGGACTGGCACCCAACACACCCCTTAAGCTGATTTCAGGGCAAAGAAAATGAAAATATAGAAGTTGATAAATAATACTCTGATTCTCCCACTTGTTTGTAAACTCTGGGAGAAAAACATTCTCCGATACTACAATTTTTTTTTCTTAAGCAGCAAGAAGGTAGCTTTGTTACTGAAGTTGCTCTTATGTCATTAATAATCCTCTAATTATCAATCTCACTGTACCTACTTAGTCCTACTCTTACAAGACATTTCACATGTGACAACTTGTTCTTTCTTGAAATGCTATTAATTTGATATAAATTTCTACTCTAAACACCCAGCCTAAACCAATGCATTAAATATTAATAAGCTAAGCACACTGAGGTTGGTGGGGAAATAGCAGTGAATCTCTACTTTCATAGATCCTCCATTCTAGTGTGTGGGATTGTTTTTCAAAAACAAGTAAAAAAGTATATCTATCTGTCTATCTATATATATAATTCTTACTGCCATAGAGTCTGTTACAATTCATAACAACCTAATAAAACAGAGTAGCAATACCGCAATGCCCCTGTGTGTTACCAAGGTTGTAAATATATATATATATATTCACTATGAAGTTTTATGTTATGATATATTCAAATTTTCTAATATAGTGTTATTGACATATGGTTCATATATCATATACTTTCATAATTCAGTCATATTAACAAGAGTTGTACAGTCATCACTACAATCAGTTCCAGAATGTTTTCTTCCCCTTTCATTCATTATTTGGTCCCCATTTCCCTCCAATCTCCCTGCCCCCAGGCCCCCAATGACCCCCTAATCCAGTTACTGTCTATAACTTCACCCATCCTGGGCTTCATATACTGGAAAACATAGGGGTGGGGAGACTAACAACAAAAACAAAATAAACTAGGGAGGGAGACAATCAAGAAAAAAGCAGAGTATTAAAAGCAAGAGCAGATTAAAAAGGGGTCGAAAGAAAATAAAATGATCAGGTATCGTATTTTAACCCAGTTACATCTACCATGATCGCATTTACAATATTCTCTATTGATAGCAAGGCTATTCATATCCCTCAATTATGGTCAGAGGGGATTCATTAAAGACTTAATCTATGTAGGGACCCTGCAAATGGGTTTTAGATTCCCACTGTCAACCATTGCTTTCTACAAATTGAGTGTTCACAATTGAAACACTAGTACTATTCCCTCCTTCAGATTTAGATTTTATTATTTATCATCAATGGATCACACAGGCTGGCGTGCTTCTTCCATGTGGACTTAGTTGACAGCTCACTTAGGTAGCTGCTTGTTTGAAGTCAAGCCTTTAAGACCCCAAGTTTGATAGCTGGACACCATCTGCTTTCTTCACCCCACTTTGATGTAGCACTCTTATCTTCAGTGATCTCTTAATGAGGGTGACCATAGAGCAGGGCCATGTCATAAGAATTAACCATTCCTAAATTGGGACTAGAATCAAGTGCAAGTCCAAATTCCACTCACATAGCTATGGTTTATATATGTCTCTGGTTCACTGTACAGGCCTCACTATTATTCTATGACAGAAACCATTATCAATCATCCCCCAGGGTATAAGGCAATTGTATTGATAGTGTCAGTAATTTATTCATTGAGATAGAATTTAACTCACTATGGCAAAAAGGAAGTTACACAAGTATAGATAGACTCTGAACCACTTTCCACAAATTACTGATTTGTACAGATTAAACTCCAAAGTGATTGAGCACTATTTACATCGACAATGTGATAGGGGAAATTTTCAATAACTATTTACATTGATAATGTGATAGGGCAAATTTTCCAATAACATTCATTCACAAAGGCAGAACCATGTCTATCAGATTGATACATGTCATAGTAAGGCAAGGAGGGCATTGAAATAGTAACTATAAGGTGGTGCTTGGCCTTTTTCATTGGGTAACCTTGAAGTCAGGGATCCAAACCAAAGTCCAACCACTACCACTCCCATAGCCTTGGAGTGGCAGTCAGCTAGTTCTTCTAAAACCGAGGAGTTCCAGTCTTAAGTGCAAGGGCTACAGGGGAGTTTAAGGTAAATCCCTGTTCGTTAGTGGGGTTTTTATACTAAGGTCTTCTGATGTGGCCTATGAAGGATGTTGTACTCCTTGAAAAGATAGAACCTAAAGTCAATAAGGGCTGGATACAAACAAGGTCAAAATTATCTAAGTAGGGACATAGTACAAGTTGTACTCTCCTCCTGGGTCCTCTATATGTATTGATAGGCATTTTTTTTGCCCGATAGGAAATTGCTCCTTCCCATTTACCCACCAACAGAAATGTAAATACCTTGTCTGAAACATAGGTCCTACCCTACCCCTACCTTGACTTGAATTTCCAGTAAGTTTCCCTTATCATTCTTGATTTGGCAAGACTTTTTCACAGTGCTGTATGGCAGCAAATAACTGGTCTCCCTTTTCCCCTTCCTGAAGGAATGGCCCCAGCTGAGGTGAGGTCTCCTCTGTAGAAATTTGTTTTTTTTTAATCATTTTATTGGGTGCTCTTACAGCTCTTATAATAATCCATACATCAATTGTACCAAGCATATTTGTATATATGTTGTCATCATCATTTCCAAAACATTTTCTTTCTACTTGAGCCCTCGGTATAAGCAACTCTTTTGTTCCCCTCCAACCCACGTGAATCCTTGATCAATTATATAGTGTTATTATTATTTCATATCTTACACTGCCCATTGTCTCCCTTCACCCACATTTCTGTTATTCGTCCCCTGGGGGGGGCTATATATCCAATCTTGTGATGGGTTTCCCTTTTCTCTCCCTTCCCCCTCCCTGACCATCCCCCTCCCTTCATGATATAGCTTCTCCAATACTGTTCCTGAGGGGTTTAGCTGTCTTGAATTCCATGTGTCAAGAGCTCTTATCTGTACCAATGTGTGTTTTCTGGTCTACCCAGATTTGTAAGGTAGAACTGGGTCATGGTAGTGGGGTGGGGATGGGGGAGAGGAAGCATTCAGGAACTAAGGGAATGATGTGTGTTTTGTCAGTTCTATACAGTACCTTGGTTGAATCGTCCCTTCCTTATAACCCTTCTGTGGGGGGGATATCCAATTGTCCACTGATAGGCTTTGGGTCTCCTCTCCAACCCCCTTGTTCGCATTGACATAAATTTTGTTTTGGATCTTTTGATGCCTTATACCTGATCCTGAAGTGGTTTTTAAGATGTACATGTAAGGGGGGGGTGATATATGGATCATGGATGCTAGGCTAACTCTCTACCTCTTTGTTTGGAAGACTGGATTAAAATTTTACATGACTTGAGAATAGAAGGCTGCCTGTGTCTTGGTGTGTAACTTTACAGTGTGGGGTCATACAATATTTACCCTTTTATGATGGACTAACTGCACTCAGCTTAATGGTTCCAGGTCTTTCCATGTCATGAGGGGTTCCAAGGTTTTGTTGCTGTGTTATAGGGGTGCATAATATTCTGTTTTGTGTATTCACCATTGTTTCTTTATCCATTCTTTTACTGTTGGGCACTTGGACTGTTTCCAGCTTCTTGCTATTGTGAACTATGATGCAATAAACATTGGCGTGCATATATCTGTTCCTGTCTGGCTCTACTGGATCATATGGGATTTCCATTTCCAATTGTTTTAAGAAGCATCATATTGATTTGTGTAGTGATTGTCTATGTTTACAAGTCCACCAACAGTGTATATGAGTTCCAGTTTCTCCACATCCTCTCCAGAATTTGTTGTTTTCTGTTTTTTGAATTGGGCTATCATTGTGGTTGTACTGGTGGTTTTAATTATAGTTTAATTTGCATCTCCCAGATGGCTAGTGATCGTGAGTATTTTTCCATGCGTTTGTTAGCCATGGGATAGTGGTGATGAGTTGGGCTGTGATCAGCAAAATCAGCAGCTCAAACCACCTGCCAGCTCCAAGTGAGAAAGACCGGGTTCCCTACTCCTAGCAAGAAACTCACAGGGGCAGTGCCACCCGGTCCTGCGAAGTCACTTTCAGAAAGCTCCAGCTCAATGGCAGTGAGTTTGGCTTGGTTTGGGTCTGTCCATATCTTTTAACCGCTCTTTACATGGGTCATTTTTTATTCTCTTACTGAAGTGTTGTAGAGTTCTATGGATTATGGTAATTAGACCCTTATCTATTGTGTCATTGGTAAAATATAAATTTTTCCACTCTGTGGGCTCTCATTTTACTGTTTTGATAAAGTTTGGGTTTTTTTTATGTTCATGAGTGATTTATTTGTAATAGGTCCCAGTCATCTATTTTTCCTTCCACTGTGCGTGTAACCTATGTGTCCTGCAGTAAGGTCCTTAAGATTGTTCTAATTTTCTCAGGGATGATTCTGATACACTTACATTTAGGTCTTTAATCCATCTTGAGTTTGCTTTTGTCCATGGGAAGAAATATGGGTCCTGTTTCATTCTTCTGCATATGGAGATCCACTTTATCCAACACCATTTGTTGGAGAGGCTGTCTTTATCCCATTTGACAGTGTGTGGTCATGTGTTGAAGATCAGTTACCTTTATGTGGATGCATTTACTATTTTCTGTTCTGTTCCATTGATCTAAGTATTTATCTATCATTGGACCAGTACCAGGACGTTTTGGCTATTGTGGCTGCTGGTAGGTTTTCAGGTGAGGTAGTGTAAGGCCCCTTAGCTGGTTCTTTTTTTAAAAGAAGTTCATTACTTATCCTGGGTCCCTCTCCATATGAAATTGGTGATACGTTTTCTGATTT